GGAAAAAGTAAAGGAGGTAGTAGGGGGTGTGGTGGGTGCCCCCCATCTATACCCACTGCCCCTCACCAAAGCACTGTGAGTAGAGCTCCCTGCGGACAGGGCAGATGCCCGTCTCCCGGGCCTGTCGCTGCTGCAGCTTCTGGTCCAGCTGCTCCTGGAGGTGCACCACATCCATCCTGGTGCTGGGCGCGCTGGACACCTGCTGGATCCATAGCTGCGTATCTTCCACCCATTCCCTGCAGCACAAACACAAGCCGGCTGAGTGCAGCCAACTGACCGGAGTGGGACTGCGGGACGTGAGCGGGGATGGCCCTGTGGGCAGGAAGGGCAGCTCTGCCACAGATTATCCGGGATGAATTGGAGTCACACCCATCTCCGCTCTCCCGCTCCATGAGATCATCACCATACTCAGACCTGACCTTCCTAACATGTTGAGGGCAGTTTAGAGTTTTGGGGTTTTTTTTCCCAGGGGGCAGGTCTTTTGGGAGCAGCATGCAGCAGTGCATAGGGAATACTCGCAATGAAGTGCTCAGGGGTCACTCCCAGTGGTTGCTAGGGCAGAACCCATTGTTTCCCAGGCAAAGTATGGCCAGCTTCTAGTCCTTTGAGCTCTCTTCCTAGCTCTGTTATTGTTGCTCAGAGTCAACAGAAGCCCACTGAGAATCCCTGCTGGCTCTTGGAGTGGATGACACTGGAGAAGGAGGGGCACCATTAACTTTGTGCCAGCTAGAAGAGACATTATGTGTGCACGGTGGGATGGGGGAGTTAGCTTTTGAAGGTGTGTACCAAGATGCACCCCCAACCCGCATACTGACTCTCAGGAGCATGGTCAGGAACCATGAAGAAGGAGCTGAGGCATGAGGCCTTAGGTGAAGAAGGCTTTACATCTCAGTGGGGAGAAGGGAAAGTCACCCCTCAATCCTTCGGCCTTGAGCTCAGAACAGATTTCAGTCTTCCTTTTACTGTCACTTTTTTTTAATTGAATCACCATGAGATACACTGTTACTAAATTGTTCAGGATTGGGTTTCGGTCATACAATGTTCCAACAGTGCTTTCACCAGCATATATTTCCCACCACCAATGTCCCCCATTTCCCTCCTGCGTCACATCCATCCCCCGCTGCTCCACTCCCAGCCTGCCTCTACAGCAGACAATTCTCTCTCTTTCTCTTTCTTTCTCTCTCTCTCCCCTCCCTTCCCTCCCTCTCGCTTTCTTCTCTCTCTCTCTCCTTCTGCAGTACAGATACTGAAAAGTCATAAAAATCCCTTTCCTCCTTTCAGCACTCAGTTCTTGTCCCAAGTGATCATTTACAATTGTCATTGTAATAGTGGCCCCCTCTCTGTCCTAAATGCCCTCCCCACCTCCAACCCCACTTGTGGCAAGCTTCCAGCCATGGACCAGTCTTCCTGGCCTTTGTTTCGTAGTATTAGTCATCAGTCTATGTTTGTCCCTTTCTCTCTATTCAGTTCACTCTGCATGATACTCTCTATGTTCATCCATTTATAAGCAAATTTTATTATTTCATTTTTGGCAACTGCATAGTATTCCGTTGTGTAGATGTACCATCATTTCTTTACTGAGTTGTCTGTTATTAGGCACTCAAGTTGTTTCCAGAGTCTGGCTATTGGTGTCAGTTTTTCATTTTTTCACTTTTCAACAGCACAGCCTTAGAACTATACTGTTGGGGCCAAAACTATAGCACTATGAGCAAGTGACTTGCCTTAATAACAGCCACCTGGGTTCTATCCTCAGCACCCATTTAGTCTGCAGAATAGTGACCTCTGCGCACAAAACCAGAAATAAGAACTGAGCACACGTGGCCCCCAAACTACAAATAAACAAACCATGTATGGACTAGAGCAATAGTATAGCAGTAGGTGCTTGCCTTGTATGCAGACAAGCCAGGTTCAATCCCTGGCACCCCATAGGGTCCCCTGAGTCTACCAAAAGTGATCCCTGAGCTCAGAGCCAGGAATAAGCCCTGAACTCTACTGGGTGTGGCTCCAAAACAAACAAACAAAACACCCACAAATGAAAAACATCTGAGATGAAAAACCAAAAAGAATGAAAGATGGCCTGGACCCACGGTAGAAAGGAGAAGGTTGGAATGAGCAGGCTTCAGGGCCAGAGGATGAAACTGAGTTTTAACTTATTGAGTTTGATGTATTAGGCACGTCATGAAGATAATGAAGAAGTAGTAGAACAGAGGGGGCTGGAGTTTAGGGAGAGACAGGACTGGCAAAAACATTTGAGACCATTAGAATGTAAGTGGTCTTTAAAACACATGGACTCCAGTGTTGCAATGATAATTAAACCAGATTCAAGTGTGAGCCATCAGTGATACCCCGTGAGCCTGGGTGAGAACTTGCAGGAAAAGACAGAAGAGTAGATCCTGGGCCCAGGGTGGTAACTCAGTGGGTAGGGGGGAAAGCCCAAGTTTGACCATTGGCACCTGATGGTCCCCCCAGTACGGCTGGGAACAATGACAGGAGTGGCCCTCCGAGCACCACCAGCTGTGGCACCAAAACAAAAACAAAGTCAAAAATGAAAGAAAAAGGTTGGTGAAATAGTACAGCAGGTGGGGTGCTTGCCTTGCTTGCAGCTGACCCTGGTTCAAGCTCCACATCCTATATGGTCCCCGAAACACCAGCAGAAGTGATCCCTGAGCACAGCTGGGAGTGGCCCAAAAACAAAAAGAAAAAAGAAAAGAAAAAGGGAAAGGAAAGAGAATCTTTCCCAGGATCTAACCATATGCTAGCTTTTGGAGCTCTGTCCCAAGTTGGGCATGAAAATACCTAGGCTTTCTTGCTGTAGGTGAAAGCTTTGCTACTTCCTGCCTGGTTTTCCAGGTTTTTTTTTTTTTTTACCTTGGAGGCAGGATGGCATTCAAGATTTCTTCCGCTTGCTTTGTAGGATCTAGGATACAGGAAGATGAGGGGAGCTTGGTCTTTGGTGGCTGTGGGACTGGACCGGAAGTTCCAGGCTGTTGGAGACTGACTTTCAGTGGCCGAGCCTGAGAAGAGGGCCAGGTTAGGCAGGGGCGACTGACTCAGCTCTGAGAATCTTCTGGGCTGTTCTGGGTCTCTGGCACACTCTTCCCATCTGTCCTCTCAGGGATGAAGGGAGCTGTCAAGAGTCTCAGCTCCCATCCCAACTCAAAGCTTGGATCTCTTTAATCAACACGTCTGTCCCAGAAACTCAGGCCTGTCTCAGACCTCTAGACATGGGGCAGTCACACCAGATCTATTCTTGGACTCAGCTCCATGAAGCAAAAGTGAGGCCAGCCATCTGCCTGTGACTTTTCCATCCTAAAGCTGCCCTCTGTGGCCACCCAACATCTGGGCTTCTGGTACCATCCTCTCACTCTCCTTTTCCGTCCCAATCCCCTTTACTATTCCCGGTCGCTGCAACTTCTATCCTTTGGCATTCCCGACCCTCAACGCCGGGATCTGTCTTTCCCCATCCGGGCTTCCGGGCTCCCCAGTCCCCCTGTCCCCCCCAGACCCATTCTTACTTTGGGACTTCGCTTCTCGGTGTTCCGGCTCACCAACACCGGGGTGTCGTACTTGAGCAGAGAGTCGGCAGGGGGAATCATAGCGGCGGCGGCGGTAGTAACCCAGTCTCCGGTCCTGCAGCGTGGGCCTTGTTTGCCGTCACCATGGAAACCCACCCTTCCATTCCCCCTGGCCTGGGCGGGGCTTCGCGTGGGGCGGGGCTAGCGGCGCGCGTGTCTGCGGGAGCTGCAGAAACATTCTCCCTCCCTTCGCTGGTCGGACCTCCTGCTCAGCTGGGCGCTGGGTCATCCCCGGAGAGTGATTGGAGGATTTTCCCGTGCCGGGAATCGAACCCCGGACTGCGCCAGTCCCTTGAGCTATCTCTCCGTCCCATCGTGGTTCTTGAAAGCAGCGAAAACTTGGGTTCGAGTCGCTGCGTGCGCTGAGTCTAACTCGCAATTTTGATGAGTGGGGCAGATCCACCTCGCAGAGTCGCAGTTTTATAACCTGCAAAATGGGAGTCATCCGACTTCTTAATGAAGCGTCGGGAAAGACTCCCAAAGGAAGGCACCCGGTATTCCCAGGGTTCAAAAGTATTTGTTTGGGATATTGTAGCTCAGTGGCAGAAGAGCGCTTGCTAAGCATGCGTGAGGCCCTGTGCTTGATCTCTGGCACTTTTTTTTTTTTGAAAAAGAAACTTTCCCCATCCCAAGCAATCAAAAACTCTTCAAGCCCACAAGATTCAAAGTACCAAAGAAGAACATGAGTGACAGGAGAACCATGAATCGAAATCTCTCCTGCATTTGGAACTTGAAGGTAAATTTACGTTTTGGATTAAGAGACATTAAAATTGCAATTCAACAAAAATTTTTTTTGGGAAATACCTAGTATGTGTCATGTCAATAAAAATGGTGAGCCAAAAAAAAAAAAAGAAACTTTCAAAAATATTTATTTATACTGAGATAGAGACACGACCAGAGGGATAGTTCCAGGAAAGGAGAGGGAAATTCGAAGAACATCTGTGATTGCATTTCCTTCTCTTCTTTCCTACATTTTTCCAAAAGTAAACTTAACCGAAGTTTGCGCACTATCTTGTATCCTGCTTTTTTTAAAAAATTATTATTGGATGAAAAGAACCTGCTTTTTTGATTGCACAAAGTTGTTCCCCTCACCCCGCATTTGTATAAAGAATTTGTAAATAGCGTTGCGAAGGACGACATCAATATCCACCCCTCGGGTAAGCAAGTCTCTCCTACTGACTAGGTTGAGGTCGTCTCCACCTCAGTAATCACTATGCAAGGGATAACAAAAGTTATCGCGTTCAGAGCAGCGTTCCTGGAAGTCGGCTTTGGAAACTACGAAAGCTCAGCCGGGAGCCCGGCCCTGCGGCCCCGCCCACTGGGAGTAGCTGTCACGTGCTCCCCTCTGCTGCCCCGCGGGGTTCTGGGTAGCGCAGGCCCGGAAGCGGAAGTCCCGGCCCAGACCCGTCATTTCCTTTAGCGGGAGGAGTGCAACGGCCCTCATTTTCCTTGGCTCCCCGGAGATCTCAGCATGAAGGAGGTGAAGAGCGAGCGGGAGCGGGGCAGCCGGCGGAGACACCGGGACGGGGACGTGGTGGCGGCGGCGGTGGTGGTGAAGCAGGAGCGCCTCAGCCCGGAGGCCGCGCCCCCGGCCCAGCACCGCCCCGACTCCGCGGGCCCGAGCCCGTCCCCGCCGGCCGGAGAACCGGGCCGGGCCGGGCGCCGCGGGAGCCGGGCCCGCGGCGGCAGCCGGTAAGTGGGGAACGGCCGCGGGGGCACCGGGGACGCCGCGCTCGTGAGGTGTCGGGAGCTGCTGAGTGCGGGGCGCGGCTCCTTGGGTTTCCTCCGCCAGCGGTGACCGGATGTGCTGGCTGGACAGAATGTGTTCGCCGCCCGAGTCAGCGCGGGTCCCCTCTCGCCCACCTCCCCGCGCCGTCGCAGTGTCCGGCGCCGCCCGCCCCTTGGCAGAATCCCATCCTTGCATCTCTAGATCCCGAGCACCCGGCCCGTACGAGCGGTCCAATGTGTTACGCGGAGCAGTGAAGTTGATGGGTCTCCGAAAGGTGGCCACATCGAGGACCTAGGCCAGCTCCCCGATAGAAAATTTGGGGGGAGGGATCGCCTTTTTTTAGGTTGATTTACTTATTCGTACCACTGTAGTTTTCCCGGGTTCCCGGATTGTTGTAAGGATTGAGGGTACGGAGCCCCCCACGTAGGGAAGGGAGCAAGAATGGCCTTTGCCCTCCGGAAACTGACATACTGCAGCCCTGAGACACAGTCGCCAGCAAATACGGAAGAAAGTTTCAGTTAGTAACCGAAGTTGGAGAGAGGTTAAAGCCTAAATGCGACAGTAGGTGTCTGGAGGGAATCAGGTAAGGTCAGAAGGTCTTTCTGGGGAGGAAAAAAAAAAAGTGCCTGCAAGCTGAAACCTGAGTAATAACTGAGCCTTGGCTCGAAGAACCTGATACTTAATTGTGACTGTTGTAGAAATAGGGGGGAAAGTTTCTATGTAGTGACTGGGTGGTAGGAATGAGGTGGAAGGAGGGAGGAGAAGGAGCCAGAGGATTGTCTGATGTGATTGTGTGGGGAAGCAGTGGAGGAGACCCTTGTTGATGGTGAAAAAGAAGAATCAAGGTAGCTTCTGATTTGGGGACTGAAGAGCAGGATGGATGGTGGTGCCATCCCCCCCCCGCCCCCCCCAGATGGCAAAGACTGGGAAAGAAAAAAGTTATGTTATCTGGGGGCTGGAGAGAGTACAGTGGGTAGGATGCTAACTTTGCACGCAGCTGATCCTGGTTCCATCTTTGGCATCCCATATGGTCCTCTAAGCACTGCCAGGAGGGATGCCTGAGTGCAGAGCCAGGAGCATCACTGGGTGTGACCTCCCGAACAACAAAAAACAAGAATTATCTAAGTGGGACTGTTCAGAAAGTGCTGGGGGGGGGGGAGGGTGGGGGCACACATCTGGCAGTTCTCAGGGCTTGCTTAGAGCTTTGCTCTTAGGTATGACTCCTGGTAAGGCTTGGGGTCCATATATGGTGCCGTGGATCAAACCTGTGTCAGCTTTATGCAAGGAAAGTTCGCTACCCATTGTACTGTCATTGAATGGTTCTCTCAAGCATCACTGGACAAGTCATTCTGGCTCAATTAGTTATATATTTGGATCTGGAACTCAAGGGAGAGTTTGGATTGAGAGAGTGAAAAAGCTCCTGACTCCTTCTCCTGATCATTAGGGGCCTTACAGGTGTTTGCATTAGTAGGTGAGCCCAATAAATAAAAATAATTTATGTGGGAAGGAGAGCAGATGGAAAAAACCTGTATATACTCTAGGTCCCCAGCCAGAAAGAAAAACAAGTCTTCAGGGAGAAGGAGCAAGTCTCCACGGAGTAGGAGAAGCCGAAGTCCTCACCACTCCACAGTAAAAGTAAAACAGGTGAGTGTTTTGAGATGTTTGGATGTCAGGTTCATATCTAGAGATTTTTCATATCATAGCTAAAGAGTGTTATATACGTGTTCATTGAACCTATAATGGGCTTTTCTTAAAACAGGGCTTTCTTTGCTCTTTTTTTGGGGGGTGTGGGCTACACTTTGGGGTGCTCAGGGGTTAGTGCTGGCTTTGTGATAAGGAGTGGCTCCCAGCAGAGTTTATAGGACCACGTAAGACCATATATGGTACCTAAATTCAAACCAGGTGAACTGCATGCAAGGCCTTACCTTTATACGGTCTGCCTCTAGCCCTAGGTTGTGCTTTGACTTCGTACCTGAGAACTTGTTGCTTTCTAGATCCATTTTTTCCCCCCTTAAAGTTTTCCACATAAGTCCATAATCTATAAGGTTTGGTTTATTTTTATTTCGATGCTAGGGCTTAGGGGCTCTTCCCAGCTCTGTGCTTTAGGGTTGTTTCCGGTCATGCTTGAGAGAACCATATGGTACCAGGGATCAAATCTAGGTCTGTGTATACAAAGCATGCTCTCAGCTCATTGACCTCTCTGCCCCAACGGTTTTAATTTTTTTTTAAAGTGAGCCCACACCCAGCAGTGCTCAGGGGTCACTCCTGATGGTGTTCAGGGGAATCTTGTGCTTGTGTGATGTAGGTGATCAGACTGGAATCTGCAGCATGTAGAGCAAGCGCCTTAGACTCTACTCTTTCCAGCCCCCGTTTGTTTGTTTATTTTAATTATTTCAATTTGTTTTGTTTTGTTTTGTTTTTTAGTCATATTTGGTGATGCACAGGACTTACTCCCAGCTTTGCACTCAGGGATCACACCTGGCTGGCATGGGGCACCATATGTGATGCCAGGATTGAGTGCGCTGCCTACTGTTTGGTTTTTGGGCCATACCCAGTGGTGCTTAGGCCTTGTTCCTCCTGGCTTTGCACTCCGGGATCACTCCTGTAGGGCTCGGGATTGAACCCAGGTCAGATGTGTTCTAGGCAGACCTACTGCACTATCACTCCTGTTCTAGTCGTAGTGTATACTATGTGAGTTGTTGCATACTGCTTTGACTATCTCGGAATTCAGGCACTATAGCTGTAACGCGCAGACTAACACTCTTAAGCTGTAATTTTTGTCTGTTTTTGTGATCTTCCTTCCTTCCTTCCTTCCTCCCTCCCTCCCTCCCTTTCTTTCTTTCTCTCTCTCTCTCTCTTTCTTTCTTTCTTTCTCCACCCCCCCCTCGTTTCTAAGCATTTTACAATAAATTGTGGGGCTTTTAGCAAAGAATTTAGTTTGATAACTATTCATTCAAAGTATCTTAGTTTAATTCTCTATGCTAACTTTGCTGGTGACCTCAAATTAACCTAAGAGTTGATTGCTGGGTATTAACGAGCTAAAAACTTGAAATGGCCCTCAAATGAAAGGACTTGATTGGTAGTTGGCACCATATAAAAGTTACCTTTTATATGAATGGCTGGAACGTGCACATCTTCTGGACTCTGAGTCTTGTACGTGACTAATGCGTGCGTGTGGGTCTTTCCCCGTCTGTCCCCCTTTTCTCCCTTCTTTCCCCCTCTTTTCTGTATATGCTTCCTGTATATGCTCCCTGCTTCCCTTTGTATTTGCTGAGAGGTGCCCAGGTTTCTAGGGCTCTGAACAGGGCCTTCGACTGAGAGCTGTAATCGGACAGAAATATGAGATGTGTGTGTGGTGTGCGTGACCTTGCGCGGGGACATAACCATCCCTTAGGACCTTACATCTCTGGGACATTTGCATTAACTGCCAAGGTCCACATCAGAGATGACTCTGTGAGTGCATCTTGTTCACGGTTGTGGGATTTACTGTTCGGATTTCAGGAACGCGAGGATCACCCCCGGAGAGGACGCGATGATCGGCAGCACCGTGAGCCCTCCGGACAAGAACACAGGCGGGCTCGGACCAGTGACCGAGATCGACACCGCAGCCATTCCCACCCCAGGAAAACCTCGAACGAGAGGTCTGGGAGTGGGCAGGCGCAGGGACGGGAGCGAGACAGCCAGAGTCTGCAGGCTCAGGAGGCGGAGCGGGAGTTTCACAATGCCCGCCGGAGGGAGCACCGCCAGAAGAATGAAGTCGGTGCTGCTGGTAGCGAGTCTCAGGAGTCGGTCCCTCGACCTGGAGGCCACAGCAAGGACAAAGAAGTGCCGGTTAAAGAAAAGCCGAGCTTTGAACTTTCTGGAGCACTTCTTGAGGACACCAACACTTTCCGGGGAGTAGTTATTAAATATAGTGAGCCCCCAGAAGCCCGGATCCCCAAGAAACGCTGGCGCCTCTACCCCTTTAAGAATGATGAGGTACTTCCGGTCATGTACATTCACCGACAAAGTGCTTACCTCCTGGGTCGCCACCGCCGAATCGCGGACATTCCAATCGACCATCCCTCGTGCTCAAAGCAGCACGCCGTCTTTCAGTATAGGTGAGTGTAGGTTCGTGGCAAGAAATGGGAGGTGCCAGCCAAAGTGGGATGTCTCGGGGAGGCTGGCTAAGGTCTGTGTCGTGTATATGCAGAGGATTCCTCATACCCCTTAGAATCTCAGACAGGTCGTAACTTCCCTGCGTCTAATTTGGTATTCCCCAAAGTGAGCGAGACTAACTTTGGGGGTGGGAGGGTGGGGCACCAGGATGAATCGGGGCAGGAGGGGAGGGGGAGAAGCAGTAACAGCATCAGTTTAAAGAGGAAGGTTTTGGTGTTTTTATTTATTTTTCCCAAAAATGTTTAATTGAATTACAAAGTTACTTATTCTTGAGTTTTAGGCGTACAATGTTGCAATACCTACCCCTTCACCAGTGTCCCTTCCATGGATACCCCCAGTTGCCTCCCCTCAGCCTACCTCTATGTTGTTGGGTTTATTTTGGTTTTTTTTTTTTTTTTTGGTTTTGGGGTTACACCCAGCAGTGCTCAGGGCTTCCTCCTGGCTCTGTGCATAGGATTAACGCCTGGCAGGGCTGGGGAACCATACGTGGTGCCAGGGATTAAACCTGGGTCAGGCACATGCAAGGCAGGTGCCCTACCTGCTGTGCTACCCCTTCATGCCTCCGGAGTCTACCTTTACAGCAGGCGCTTTCCCCCCACCCCACCCACCCCCGTTTAGGCACTGTGGCTCACAGTAATGTTGCTGCTAGGACATTATGCATATCACTTTGACCTCCTTTTAGCATCCAGTCCTTGTCCAGAGTAACTGTTCCCTCTATACTGTTGCATTGCAGGGGGCCCTTACCCAACCTATTCCTCCAGGCCCCCACCCCCCATCCCTACAAACTCCCTACTAAGGACCACTTCTCCAAAGAAGGTTGTTTTCTAGAGCTGTTATGCCCTCAAAATAGAAACAAGTGATATGAAAGAAAGAAAGAAAATGAAACAACTGAAAATGCCTGGCATGTATGTTCCCTGAATCTTGGCAGTTTGAGTAGTACATGTTTCCTTGCAGCAATCTTGTGCAAAAGGTAGGCAAGTATTAATAGTCCCCACTTGACAGACAAGGAAACTGAAGCACAACAGAGGCAAGTGACTTGCTGAATAGATGATCACCGTAGTATTAATTGGCTCAGATCGAGCTTCCTCTCCTCTTGAAACCCAAATCTGCTGCTTTATTCTCATTGTGATAGGAGCTAAAATACATCTGAGGACCCTCTAGAGAGACGGTACAGTGGGTGGGGTACTTGCCTTGGATGCAGCTGATCTGGGTTTGAGCCCCAGCACCACACATGTCCCCCAGGCCCCGCCAATGCCAAACTACAGCCGAGTGTGGCCCCAAAACAAAACTATATATGTGAAAGAAGTATAAGTATCATCATAATAAACAACAAAAACTTTATTTATTTATTTTTTTTTTGCGGTGCCGGGTACCAAACCCAGGGCCTCACCACACATGCGAGGTAAGTGCTCTACTGCTGAGCTGCCTCCCCAGCCCACACAGACCTAGACTCTTAACTAAGGCGAGGGGCCCTGAATTTGCATTTTAAGCTGCTGCTTTCTTTTGTTTTTGTTGTCGTCCAGCACCCTGTGATGCTGGGGACTCCCCCCCCCCCCCCCCCCCCCCCCCGGTGTGGTGCTGGCTGGGGGTGGCATGTGTCATTCTCAGCAGTGCTGCGGGACCATGCGGTGCCAGGGGGCCTGCATGTAAAGCATGCGTACCAACTCCCGGAGCCATCTCCCTGTACTGCCTTTGACGCCTTTTATCTACCCTGAATCCCTGTCCCCTGAGCCCCCAACCAGTTCTCATCTTTTCTGCTATGTTTTTTCATCTGCTCCCAATAGCTATACCCAGGGTCATGCCAGCGTCTTGTTCTCCGAGTTTGAGCTTGAACTGTGTTCAGGCCTGCTCATTTACATCCTCCAGGCCCTATCTTCGTAACCCGTGGGTGGTGAACCCACGCGGGATCATGTGACTGAATGTGGAGTCATGAAAAATGTCGCAGCCGTGGAAGGTTTCTGACTGTGCAATGAGCAGAGTCCGAGGTGTTTCTGGCGGTGCTCCCCCATGTTGCATTTCTCAGGTGAAAGTGTGCAAAAGTTGAAGAATCCCGGCCTGCTGTCGGCTCGGTTAACCCAGAACTAATAGCCTGAGGTAGGATTTCGCTCACCAGTTTCTCTTTATCTCCACCAGACTTGTGGAATATACTCGCGCTGATGGGACAGTTGGCCGCAGGGTGAAGCCCTACATCATTGACCTTGGCTCAGGCAATGGAACATTCTTGAATAACAAGCGCATTGAGCCGCAGAGATACTACGAACTAAAGGAAAAGGATGTACTTAAGTTTGGCTTCAGCAGCAGAGAGTATGTTCTGCTTCACGAGTCGTCAGACACCTCTGAAGTAGACAGGAAAGAAGATGAAGATGAAGAAGAGGAGGAAGAAGTGTCTGACAGCTAGCAGACTAAAACATAACCCGAACTCAGAGACCTCTTCTTTGAAGGCTGTGGGATTGACTCGAGCACTGTGGTGTGGTGCTCTCTGTAATGCCTCTTATTGCCTTAAGCCTTTCCTCTGTTGCTAACCAGCTTATGTTACAGTAAGAAAATGGACTTGGGTGAACTTTTTCTGTGGCTCATCAACCACATGCTTGCAGGCATGTTTTCAGGACAGTCTCACCAACACATTGTGTTTTGTAGAAACATTGTGGTTTTCGTTGGTGCTTTAAGGATTGGCTGCCTAGGAAACTTTCAAACCTCTTGGTTGGAGGAGAATTGTGACTTGTTCTCCTTTGTACAGTTCTTTTATTTATAGAGTTGTTAGGCTTTGTGGACCAGGCGGTTTTGTTTATGTTTTTGTTTGGGGGACAGACCCCTGAATAGAGAATTTTACTAAGCTTTGGTTATCACCAAAACAGCCTCCAGAATATACCAAAGCTTTGACCTGGTTGAGCTCTTGAGACATAGAATTTGATTTTGCACTTCATTTGGGGGGTGGGGAGAGTTTACCAAATGACCTCATTATTCACTGTCAGACTTGCTTTTCAGAGCCTGCTTAAGCATATGGGAAGATCATGGTGATACAAACAGGTAATATATTAACGTCACAGAAGGCTGAAATGGGTCATGGTTTCCTGTGAGAGAATTTTGGTTTCTCCATGGAACATGTACATAACAATTTGATCATCTTATCTGGTCTTTGACTTTGTATTTTATTCAGATGTTGTCTCCCTTTTTTCTTTGAGAAACACTGTCCTTCATGTGGCAGGGTCCTTGCTTGATTTTAACAATGTGTATATGTCTAAAGGAGTTGTATCGTTTACATGGTTCATCTTTTTTTTTTATAAACAATGTCACATACATTGTATTTACCTTCCCCAGGCTGGAAACTATGGAAATTGCCTAGTTTTCTAATTTTCCACCGGAGGAATATGTGTAAGTAGAAAATCTGTTAACTACTTATACATATTGTATGTGTGTGTATATATATTTGTGTGTGAGAGAGCTGCATACTGATTTTCATACGAGAATGTTTTGTGAATGTAAATGTAATGCTACATTAAGGCAAAGGCCTCCCTGCATTTGACGAGCAGGTTTTTGTTTATATGTATTTTGGGATAAAAAATAATAAAATTTGTAAATACCATTGTAAATACCAAGTGCCATTTCAGAGGGTAATGTTTTTCTGACGTAGCAAACCTTGTAATTATTGGTATATTTCCTGCTCCTAAGGAATCTATATCAGTATTTTGGGGGGTGTCATGCCCAGTGGTGTTTGGGGGCTACTTCAGGCGTAGTGCTAGAGGGATTGCACCCAGCAGTTCTCGGAGGACCATGCAGTGCTGACAATCTAATCTAGGGCCTCACCTATGAAAGGGAAGTGCTCTGCTACCAAGCTACATGCCTAGCTTGTCACTGTCCTCCCATTGTTCATCGATTTGCTCGAGCGGGCCCAGTAACACTGTGAGACTTGTTACTGTGTTTGGCATATCGAATACGTCATGGGGAGCTTGCCAGGCTTTGCCGTGTGAGCGAGATACCCTCGGTAGCTTGCCGGGCTCTCCGAGAGGGACGGAGGAATCGAACTCGGGTCGGCCAAGTTGGCTGTGTGCAAGGCAAACGCCCTACCTGCGCTGTGTTATCACTCCAGCCCATCCCCAGCCTATATCAGTAATTTTGAGGGAAAAGTAAGTTATAGAAGGTGGTCAAGAGATTAAGACGAGGGAAGAGAGAGCTAGGACTGACATAGCACTGGAGTCTAGATCTTCAAGGCGCAGTGAGTGTGGTTTCTGTTGAAGCTGCAGCATCTAAATTTCAGTGACGTGTAGAGGGTTTTCCTGAACCACATAGAGCAAGCTCTTCATTGTGTGCCTCTGGCCATCTTCTTTCTTCTCTACTGTTCGGCCCATGGGTAGTAAAAGGAGATTGTGCATCTCAGTGTTTCTGCTAACTGTGCCTGCTGCTCCAAATTTAGGGTACTGATAAAGGCCTGCCATCATCATCCTCTTGGGCACATGGGGAAATGTAACTGGTGGGGAGGGGCAACTGGTGAATGTTTATATTCAAAAGAAAGCAGGGGCTGTGGATGTGACTTGGCAGTGGCAAATACACCTTAACCTGTGTGACTGCGTGGATTTCATCCCTGGCGGTACGGAAAAAAAAATTAATCCGAAGGATATGTCTCAGTGGATTCCCTCTCCAGCACTGCAAAGGAAAAAAAAAGCTCTGTGAAGAGCAAGAACATATTAAGATCGGTCAGATGGAAGGGGAGCTGCCGTAGTTAGCCTCCCATACCTCAGTGAGTTCTATATTTGCCCCACAGTTGCTCTTTTGTTACGTGTGTGGTAATGGTCCTTGGTGCATTCGGGACCAATAACTATCCTGCAGCTGATGGACGAAAGAGCGGATCCACAGGCTGGTAGCCAGTGGTGACTTTATTCAAGTCAATCGGGATTATTATTGAGAAATTGTGAAGGGTTGGGGGACAGCAATTACACATAGGTGTGGTTGAACATAAACATAAATATGAACAGATATAAAGTGCTTCCTTAGGGGAAATTTTTCTAGGAGATCCACCCAAGAGCAGCATTCCATCCAGGGGCTCCAGCACTCTCGATTCCTTTCAGGAGATCCACTCAGGGGCGGCATTCCATCTAGGGGCGTAGTGCTTTCTCCTTTCCTATACTGGTAAATCTAAGCAATCATACTAAATTTACTTCTTAATATTTCTAGTCATTTTGCATAAACACAATTAAGAGATAGACTTTTTTTAAAAAAATTTTATTAGTGAAACTCCATGAGGTAAAGTTGTAGACTTAAAAATTTTTGTGCTTGGGTTTCAGTTATACAGTGATCGAATACCCGTTCCTCCACCAGTGCCCATTCTCCACCACCACTGATCCCAGTATCCCCCCCCCACCCCCCCATCCCACCCTGCCTCTGTGGCAGGGCATTCCCCTTTGTTATCTCTCTCCTTTTGGGTGTTGTGGTTTGCAAAAGACACATTGAGTGGCAATCACGTTTGGTCTATAGTCTGCTTTCAGCATGCTTCTCCCATCCCGGGAGGATCCTCCCAACACCCTTTATTTGGTGCTCCCTTCTCTATCTGAGCTGCCTTTTCTCCTAGCATATGTGGCTGGCCTCCAAGCCATGAAGCAAAATTCCTGGTACTAATCTCAGCCATTCTTGGGTGTTAGTCTCCTATTTTGTTACTTTATGTTCTCCAGATGAATGTAGTCTTTCTATGTCTGTCCCTCTCTTTCTGACTCATTTCGCTTAGCATGATACTTTCCATGTAGTACCACTTGTATATAAATTTCATGACTTCAAGAGATAAAGACTAGTATCTATACTTTAGATTAAGCTTCACATCATAAATGGTAAAGGGTGGCTTTTCCTGGGGACGGCTCACTATATTTCCCAGACTAGTCCTCAGGGCAGGTTAGCTTTCCTAATCCCAGTGGGGTCTTTTTCAGTTACTTCTTTTTGGGTAGTAACAGAGCGTGTTCCATGACTGTGCTCTTAACCTATTACACTTCTAACGGCCCTTAGGACTGTCCCATGTCAAAGCCAGGGTAGCTTACGACTTGCTCTGGGTCCATCCAAGTCCCTTGGTGGAACCCACCTTTTGGGGTGTAAGGAACAATCTAAGTGCAGTTGAAGCTTAAGTAAATACGACAGATGCCCGGGAGGATATATTTTCAGAGTCAATTAACTCTGATTTTTAAAAAAAGAGCATTAGCTCTCTTCCTGTGTGTATACGAAAAGGACAAAAATTAAAATATGCAGAGGGCACAAAAGAAAGACGAATCATTTCACTTACATATACAAAATACAGAGCCATCAGAAGGTTTGACTTTACAAGTTACCATGTTGGATCTGTAGATATTTGTGACTGATAGGGGAAGTAGAATACAAAAGAGGGTTAAAGATAAACATGCCTCAAGTGGAATTGGGTGTGCTTCCAGGAGCACTGTAGTAGAGATAACTCAGTTAACAAGCTCACTGCAGGAGGAGAAAGGATAGCCCAAAGTTCAGCCTAAAATGTTTGGAACTGTAATCTAACTATGGATAGACTATGGATGTGCATATCTATGAGGTTTTGTTTTAAAGAGGTTTTTGTCTTTTGGGGGGCTAGGGAGGGCATTTGTGCCACACCTGGCTATACTCAGGGCTTATTCCTAGCTTACTCAGGGATCACTCCTGGCAGTGCTTGGGGGGCCATATCGGATGAGTTTTTCCTCTTGATCCAGATTGTATTTTCCTTTCTGAAATTAGTTGATGGTTTGGTCTCTCACTAGAGGGCTTGCTGTGTGTGTGCCGCTACTGTTCCTGGGTAGTTTGGGACGTTGCTTCAAACCCCATCCTAGATGTCCCTCTTCTAGATGACTACTTTACCTACAGTTTTTGCTAAGACATCCCAATTCTGTAGTCAATGTTTTGATAGAGAAATCGCTTCTGAATTAATAACTATTTTCATCCCACACCCAGAGGTACTCAGGACTTGCTCCTGGATTTGCACTTAAGGTATGGGGGGACCATACGAGGTGCTGGGGATCAAACCCAGGTTGGTGGCATACAGGGCAAGTGCCTTAGCTATCATACTGTCTCTCCAGCCCAACTAAGAAGTTCATGATGCCAAATATCTTGAAAGGTATGGAGGTATTCTTCATTCTTTTTTTTTTTCTTTTTAAGGACAAAAGTCAAAGAAAAGACACAAGTCATCTCTAAACCCAAATATGATCAGCAGACAGCTTGAAGTTGACACAATACTGAAAGCTTTCTTCACGAGTCAATTCATTGCTTAGAAACTTGTTTTTGGAACTGGACGGACAGCTCAGTGGGTTGCTGCACAAGCATCGCATGCAGGATGCCTGACATGGCATGGTGCCTGAGCACTGCCTGGAGTGTTGCCCAAGCACAGAACAGGGAGTAGACACTGCCCAGGTGTGACCTAAACCCAAAATAGAAATTTGTGTTCATCTTAATATTTATAACTTCTTCATTTCCCACCTTTTACCACCCTGGTTGACTTGTCTAAAAATCAAGCCCTTTGCAAAATAGTCCTTTGCTTCCGAGCCTCTTAAGACCCTGTGGTGCTCTGCAGTTCTGCTAATGTAGAGGCAATATGGGTTTTTCCCAGCGCACTTCTTCTTAGACGTCTTCTAGTCCCCCTCCTAACACTGACACAGTACAGCTTATGAAGTGCAGCTAGTGACTAGCTTTCAAATACTATATCTTGGTGATAAGTGAAAGCATCCAGGTAACTAAACTTAAAAAAAAAAAAAAGAATTTTTATTACTGAATTAAGTGTGCCAGTGTATGATCGAGCTTAGCCTTAAACAGTTTCTATCTACCTTCTCTTTCTCGCAGTCCCGTTCTGACTATTGCCTGTCTGTGATACCCCCTGCCAACTCATTGACACTTCAGTCTTGTGCCATGGCCATCTTGGAATATCTTGGTGTCCCGTGGGGGGCCATATGGCCTCCAGTTGAGAAATACTGCTTTAAAAGCTTTAGACCTTTAAGTATATCAGGTTATCATTTAATATGGTACACAGATGGTTATATGTTTTTAACATCTTCCCTTTGTAGAATCTGGCTGTATGTGAGGAATGAAATACTGTGTTAATCAGAGAGCGTCAATATGACACAAACTACGTGCCAGCAATGCCTTCTTATAAGATAATGCTCTGAACCCATGATGTTCCTGCGGTATGTGAATTTATATTAAGGAGAAAGGCTACTTGATTTAATTAAAGATCTGGAATTTAAAACATTTTGTGTCTGGGTAAAGTTTCCAGTATACTTATCAAATGGGGAGATCAAAGAAATTCAAAAGAATGACGAAAGGGAAAGAGAATTCCCAAGTCAGCAGTTGTCTGGAGGAGCAGTCCCAGTGGGCAAGCTTCTGACTGGCATTGTTTCAAACCTGGGCCAGTGTAGCCAAACACATGGCAGCGAGCTGGAGCTCCCCTCATCCTGGGGGTCAACCAGGATGGGAGTTAACAGCAAGGAAGCCTGGTGGGAAAAAGGAGAAAGGTTGAGAAGCGCTATGCTTGAGGAAAATTAAGGCCTAGAAAGAAATCAGTCTTCCACTGAGTTCCAATAGAAAAGCACGGGGTCGTGTGGGACTAAAGCGTTCGGTGGCCAAGAACTGGTCCCCTGGCTGGCCCATGGCAACAGATGGATGAAGGACGGAGGACCGGGGAATCAGGGACTCAGGCTGGTTGGTAGTCAGTTTATTTCTCTCTCTTCCCCAGTGTAGTCCAATCTCTCCCTTACAGCACAATTGTAGTTGTAGTTTTGGTCATAGTCCCAGTCCATCATCCTAGTCTCTTCGTAGACCTCAAAGTCCTCTGCCTTCTGGTTCTTGTCTAGTCCTTCTCTTTGTCATAGTCCCCACTCTCCCCTTACAACATAGTTCTATAGAAATCATCATGAAGGGTGGGAGCACACATAGGTGGGGTTGAACATTGTCATAACAACATGCAAGAGGTAAAGCCACTCCTTCAAGGAAAGTTCTAGGGGATTAACTCAAGGACAAAATCTCATCTGAGGGTTCAGCACTCCAAATTACTAGGAAATCTGCCCAACGCAGGATTCCATCCAGGGTGTATGGCTTTCTCCTTCCCTCTTCCCTCAATCCATTTAAACAATCATAGTAAATTTACTTCTTATTAATATTTCTAGTCATTTTGTATGAACACAGTAAGATATATTAAGCTTAAAGTTTGGCTTCTCCTGGAGACATCTCTCTATATCCCAAACTACAGTCCTCAGGCCAGGTTAGTCTTTCCTAACCCCAGCAAGGCCGTTATTCAGTTATTTCTTTTTTTGGGTCATGACAGAGTTTGTCCAATGTCCATGCTCTAAACTTATTACATTTATGGTGCTTAGCTTGTTCCCTTTCGATGCCAGGGTAGCTTACAGCTTGCCCTGGGTCTATCCAGTCCCTTCGTCTGGGACCGTGCTTTTGGAGTGCTAGGAACTAAGGGCAACTGAGGCTTAAGTCAAGTACATATGGATGCCCAGAGTAAATATTATTTTAGAGTCAACTCCCGTGTTGCAAAGCATAGCATGAACTGTTTTCCTGTATCTATACAAAAAGGACATTGCTAAACCATGCAAGTGACGTAAAAAGAAAAGCAATATAGGATTATTAGTGCTTGATGGAATTGGGTGTGCCTCAGGGGCACTGTTGTGGGAGTAACTCAATAACCTAAGTTCCCTGCTGGAGGAGCAAGGACAACCCAATGTTAACCAACACTCTACCCTCATCCTTAGTTCATATTATGAAGGGTTTTTTTTTGTTTTGTTTTTGTTCCTAAGGAAAAGAAATTAAGACAGTTGGTGTTGTTCATATTAACCCTAAAGTTAAAGTGAATTAATCCAGTCGGCTGAGAGTTATATAACATCATGCAAATTGTAAGTAGATTATAACTGTTAGATACCATGCAAGCAAAGACATTTGAGTGTCAAATGTCAGAAAACAAGTCGATTTCTGAACCCAGGGCAGAACATTGTGTCAGACTGATGAGGATATTGCTGGATGTGGCCCAAAAAGAAAAAAGTTTTTTTGTGAGAGGACTGAAGAAATAGTATAGAGATCAAGACATTTGCCTTGCATGCAGTTACTCCATGTCAATTTCTGACACTACATAGAGTCGCCTGAGCACCATCAGGAATGATCCCTGAGCATAGAGCCAGGAGTAAGCTCTGAGAGGCACTGGATGTGGCACAAAAACCCCAAAAAGAAAAAAAAAACTGTTGTTTTGTAGAGCCAGGGAAATCATGTTTCATCTCTAGCACCCCATAATTGATCCCCTGATTAATATTGGGAAGCAACTCTTCAAGCATTGCTGGTTGTGACCCCAAAACAAAGTTGTTTTTTTTTTGTTTTTGCTTTTTGGGTCACACCCAGCAATGCACAGGGGTTACTCCTGGCTCTGCACTCAGGAATCACCCCTGGCGGTGCTCAGGGGACCATATGGGATGCTGGGAATCGAACCCGGGACGGCTGCATGCAAGGCAGACGCCCTACCCGCTGTGCTATTGCTCCAGCCCCCAAAGTTGTTGTTTTTGTTTTTGTTTTTTGTTTTTTTTGGGTTTTTTTTGCTTATATGATATCCAGAAGTTTGGAGTTTAAAAAAAATTTTTTTTTTCTTAAGTGAAGGATGAAGAAAAGCAACAGCCCATCATAATTAAAGTCAAACATCTTAACTCTCTTCCCTACTGGATGTTCTCAAAGCCACAATATTTTACTTTAGACTTTTTGGTGAGGGGAGGGGGTATTGATGCATACCTGGCAATGCTCAGGGGTAGCTTCTGGCTCTGCACTTAAGAATTACTCCTGGCGGTGCTCAGGGAGCCATATGGGATTGAACCCAAGTCGTCTGTGTGCAAGGCAAGCACTATACTCCTGTCCCCTACTTCAGGCGCTTTTAAATGCTTTTCTGCTTGGAAATGCTCCTCCTTTCTCATCCCCTCTGCCTTCTTCTGGTTAATTGTTCATTCTTTCCTGATTCCCAAAGTTGGTTTTTTTATTTTTGGGTTTTTTATTTTTTTTTGGAGCGATAGCACAGCGGTAGGGCGTTTGCCTTGCACGCAGCCAACATGGCCGACCCGAGTTCGATTCCTCCGCCCCTCTCGGAGAGCCTGGCAAGCTACTGAGAGTATCTCGCCCACACGGCAGAGCCTGGCAAGCTCCCCGTGACGTATTCGATATGCCAGAGTAACAACAAAGTCTCCGATGGAGACGTTACTGGGCCCGCTCGAGCAAATCGACGATCAATGGGAGGGCCTTTACTTTACTTACTTTACTTTCTTCCATTAAATTTATTAGAGAATCACAAAGTTTTAAATCCACTTTATTTTTACTCTCCCCACCCTGTCCCCCTTTACTTGCATGTAGTGGGTTGGGTCACACCTGGCAGTGTTCAGGTACCACTCCCAGTTCTATGTTCAAGGCCTTGCTCCTGACTTCACAGCTACAAAGCTGGTGCTCTAGGCCGTGATCTTCTCTAGGCCATCTCACGCTTCTCTTCCCCTCTGCAAGTCTGTTGGTCTGGGGTTCACACCCAATGATGCTCATGGCTTACTCCTGGCTCTGTGCTCAGGGATTATTCCTGGCAGTACTTGAGGAACCATGTACAGTGGCCAGGACTGAACTGGGCAACTGCATACCAGGTAAGTACTTTACCTGCTGTACTATCTTTCCAACTTTTGTAACAATCTAGGCCTTATTCTAGATTGAGTGGGACAAGTCAAATCCTAAAGCTTGCTTATAGGGTATGAACTTTCTCTCCCCCCACTCTCTCTCTCCCCCTCCCTCTCCCTCTTTCTCCCTCCCTCTTGTCTCTTTCTCTCTCTCTCTCTCTCTCTTCCCCCCGAACCCCCCAAACACACATAACAAAACAGACATCGAAGACCCCTCTTCCCAAAGCCAAGTGCATGGTCACCTCTTCCGTTAGACCTCCATTGTCTGCCTCACTGCAAAATGGACCCCAACAGCACATGCAACCCTGACCGTGTCTGCCTGCACCTGCACGGACCCCTGTGAGCGCAAAGATTGCAAATGCACCTCCACACCTCCAGCAAGAAAAGCTGCTGCTCTTGATGCCTCTCCAGCTGTTCCAGTTGTGCCCAGGGCTGTGTGTGCATAGGGGGCATCAGACAAGTACAGCTGCTGAACCTGAAGTTCGTGTGTGTGTATTTGCATATATATACATCTATATAAATAAAATCTGTGCATCCTGACCTATTGAGCTACCATCTCTTTCCTGTGAAATATGTGAATGTTAAAGTTGTTGAGACTTTAAGAAATAAAAATAACATGTACACCAAGGTGTCAGATCTTTAGAATTAAAGTGTGGGTCAGAAATTGCCTTCTCCAGGGCATTTGCAGGCTTGGTGTTCAGGAAGCCTGAAACCTTGAACTATTGTTTTAAAAGACCCTGTCTTGGGACTGAAGAGATAGAACAGCAGGTAGGATGTGAGTTCACAAAAGCACTGTGGGAGTTGCTATTCGGATGGGAGGCCAAGAGCTTCCTCCTATCCTCCCCAGGCCTTCCCAGCAGAGAGATGGAGGACCACAGCCTGATGGTAAAAATGGCCCATTTAATGCAGATC